CCAATGTAGGGTCACCTTCGGGTGCACTGTTGTTGCATCATTTTAATTTGGACTGCTGTAGACTTATTGCTCTGAACTTAGCGTCTCACTTACGCTAGCACACTTACTTTGACCTTGTGTATGCTAGTTTTTAATTATTCGTACTTTTATATTACTATTCTATTAGCTTCCGCACTGTGCACATGGTTACGTCACCTTCGCGTGACGGCCAGCACGCCCTGGCCTTGGTCAGGTGTGTCACAGCCGCCCCTCCCCACGTCGGAAATCAAGCCCATGAGCGGTGGTTTCGCCCCTTCGGTCTCGTTAGAAGTGATGAAATTCCGTCTGGTTTTTTGGCCTTTTCGGTTTCCCTGCTCTATCGCAACAGAGGCTGATCGCGGGCTCTTTTTTTTTCCAAAAAATAAAACCTAGGCCAAAGAAAGGAGGAACAAAGACCTGCATTTTGCAGCTTTTAGAGACTAGAAATTAAGTTTTGGACCTCTGGTTTGGTTCTAACGAAGAAGAAGAGAAAGGAAGAAGAGAGAGACTTTCTTTCTCTCTCATCCCACCTCACGTGACCTTTCATAATTACAATTTTTTTTAATATTGGCCAATCAATTTGCGCCACCTAACATGCTATTGCTTATTTATATTGGAATTTGTTTTATTTTTTAATTATTGTCTAATTAATTTGACCACTCTTCTAAAACTTTTTAAGCCACTTGTTTGACACTATTATTTATCTTAAAATTCACTACAAATTTATACGAGCTTCAAAAAATAATTTATAAAATATTACGAACTCGTAATTATTTGTTTTTTTTTTCTCTTACCATCAAATTCAACAGAGTAATAAAGAAAATTTGTCAATATTTTTATATATTTAATAATCAATGTTTTTTGGATATTATAAACTATATAATAAATAGATAATTATTTATACAGTATATGATAAATTTATTCAAATTTGTCTAGGTCCTTGCCTAAGTGTAAGTCATGTCCATCGCCCGACTAGAGTTTAGCATCCTTTAAAACTTTGCTAATTATACAGTTAAGTAATAGGACGATACAACAAAAAATGGTGCTAAATCATCCTTCAAATAATATTGTTGTTCAAACCCTCCTTCGACCATTTTGAGTAGTCCAAATCATCTTTTAAATATTTCGGTTAGTGCAAATTCTCCTATGAATATTACGGGTAGTTCAAATAATCTACTTGCAAATCCTGAACTTAGACCTTGAATGAATGTTCACACTTTTTCATGACCCTAAATTTTTTAAATTTTGCCCCTTTCCCCGAGAATTCCTAACTTTGCCACTGAGCACGATGGATGGTGAGTACTTGGGTATAGTTCCAATATCATGTCAGCATCATCCTCATCATCATCCATATTGCGACATTACAAGACATAGATGCGCTGTAAAAGAAGCCAGAAAAGACGTAGCGGTGTAAATCAAGTCGCTCACGGCGCCAAAATGGCCGGGACCAGTGCCTTGTAATATTTATATCCCACGAGTTATGAATGCCCTAAACCATTAATACTACTTCCAAGCTTTTACGTCGATCTTTTTCTTCCATGTCGGCAATCAAAATAAATCACATCATCTGATCGCAAGGTTAAATTTAGTTAAGTTAATTAAAAAATCACTTTGTTCATTTCTTTGAGAAAATGATTCTCGTCGGATTCTTTTCTTGAAGATCTTAGGGATCCCGTGATCCAGACCATCCATCATACATCGTGCGGTCAGTTTTGTTAGATACTATTTATATTTAATTTTAAATTTTAAATTTTAAAATAATTTATGACTGAACGATGTACGATGGATGGTTTTTTACCGTCCTTTTCCATTTCTTTGTACTTAAAGTTTGACTTCCTTGTGTGGTTGAAATAAATTTGTTGTAGATTTTTTTTATAAAAGTCACATTCAAGCACACATTTAATATGATCAATGTTCCTCAATGTTTCAAATTCCCTTTTTATAATTTTGTCATAGTAACATTTTTTTTTTTAGCAAATGATATTATTTATACTAAGAGGGAGGATGGGCTTGATTTCTCTTTTCAAATTCACTTTTCGCCAAAATCAAACATAAAATCTTTCACTTCTAAGTGAAAATGACCACTATATCGTAATACTAAGTGGCATAACATGTTTTACTATCTGTTTATATTATTATTAGAAGAAACCCTAGCCTATGTCAACCTCTTCTAGATGTTCCAACAAAAGAGGAAAAAAAACCGTTCTAGATTTTCATGTTTTACAAATTTATCTAATAAAAGGGAAAGAAAAATAATTAACAAGAGTAAACAAGTAATTAAAAATTATCTTAATAAAATTAAAGAAAAACTCAAAATTTTCACTACTTTCTCTTCGTCTGCAATAACTACCACCACTATGTCTTAGTCTCATTTCATCTGGCCGCGATAACTGTCGTTCTATTTCTAGTTTGTACATAGTTTATTATGTGCTAGTGGCGTGGTTATAAAATTTATTGAAAAAGGTCAACCTTTTTTAAACAAAAAGTAAGAACAACAAAATAAAATCATTTAATAGCACAAAATTCTTAAAGCATCTCTAAAGAAAATGTCTAAAGTTCATATCAGCAATAACTATAAAAAAAAAAAAAAGACAACATTATTATTTTTAATCGAAATGTCAATGTTAATTGATTACTAAATGCTTTTTATCATATTCATTATTGTCTCTTGTTCTAAAAATCTTTATCTCTACTAATCTTTACTAATTAATAAAACACTCATTATCAACCAAAATCTTATGAAATTACCATTTTAACCCTTTTATTAAAACAGAAAATGAATAAGAAATGTAATTTCACACAACCAAATTTTACTATTTTTTTTTTAAACCTCACCTACGTGTAATCCTGTTTGGACCTAAAATTATTGAGTTGGGCCGAGTATGGAATTGTTCTCTGTCCAGAAGTTCTTTTCAAGGATTTCTAAAAACTAGCCGGTTTATGGGCCGCCTAACTAAAAGTCGGCCAAGCCCTGTTTGGAAAAGAATATTCCAGATGAATAGGAAGTAGGTGGGCCCTATTGCGAAGCAGATGAATGAAGTGGTTAAGTCCTGATGCAGTAAGGATTCTCGGCCAGATAAGGATACCGGAAAGTGGAAGTGAATGTGGCCTAGTAAGAGGTTGAATTCAAAATCCTAATAGAAGTGGGATTGGCCGAGATAAGATGGATTGGGGTAAGGAGTCCTAGTTCGAGTATGGTTAAGATTGGGTTTTGCTGCTATAAATAGAGAAAGGAGGGTGCAATGCAGGGACCTCCAATTCAACACACAACTGCCATGCGCAAAACCTCTCAAACATCTTGAGATTTTTTATTTTCTTTTTTCCGCCGACACATCTTTAGTTTGGATAAACAGCACTGTGAAGGCAACCGGCGAACAACTTCAGTTTAGATAAACAGCACTGTTGCCGTAGAATCAGCCGATCGAAGAGCACCTTCAGTTTGGATAAACAGCACTGCGTCGAGGCTGACTGGTTACCTATCCAAGTCTCTGTCGAGAAGGGTTTCCGAATCCTTATTGGCAGAGGTCATCTTATTAGCCTTCTCGGCGAAGTAAGGTGTTACGAGTTACGACATTCGGCACATTGAACGCCGTGTGATTTTATGATTGGATACTCGCAAGTGAGTTTCAGAGTTCGGCATTCTGACGGCCGAACCATATTCACCATCAAGACAAACATCGCCTTTGAATACTTGTTTCCGTACAGTCTGGTGTTGATTCGACGTGCTTATACTCTCACGAATATAATCACTGTGACCGAATCCGGCGTCGACGATTTGTGAACTTCACAGAACTAGCAGCCTTGTCTTCAAGCTCGAGAATCCAAAGGCCGAGATTTGTTCCTTCCTCGGCCGCAGTCGCAAGATAAAGAAGTCAGCAACGCTCTCAACGCGACATCAACAAATTTTACTCCTCGGCCAAGCTGGCCCGACGAGTTGGCACGCCCTGCATTCAACCAAATGACATAGTTAGCTTATTAGTTACTCGGCCTGCGCGCCACGTAGGCTTCGTAATTTTTAGGGTCAACAAATCCTAATGTATTTCTAATTAAAAAAAAAAAAATTCCCACTCCCACATTCTCTATTACTCTCTTCCTCTCTCCTTCTATTTCAAAAACAAAAATATAAAATTTTCTTACACACTTTGTGTGTGCCCATATGCTAGTTACAATTATGAAAAGTAAATAATATAACAAATAATAATTTTGTTTGATTTATCAGGTGGAGAATAAAATTTAAAAAAAAAAGATCGTAAGTACCACACAGGCCTTCAAATCTAAATTTTATGTTTAAGTTTGACATCTCCTTTAAAAATACTCTTAAGTTTGCCAATTTAATTTTCCCATTCACGGATGGAGGTGGCATAATAATGTCTCTTCATACGAGGCACTAAAATAAAATTTATTTCAAGAAATAACCAGAACTATTACCATATTTAGCATCCATATTACTATTTTTATATCTTATGAGCCCTAGATACATACTGTTAATAACTCAAAATTTGCCTATTTGTGAAATTCATGTCAGTTTTTATTTCATTGAAGGTTCAGTCAGTGAGAAGGATCACACGTTTAGAGAATATTTACAACAAAAAAAAAAAAAAAGGACATATAAAATTACAAATAAGCAATTTGTTAACTTGAGAAGAATCAGCTGACGACTCTGAGCCTTCATTGGTTCCAGCCTTGCTATTTGGTGAAAATATATATATATATATATATATATCTGAATTTTTTTCCTTCATTAGTCAAAGCATTAGACACACTAGAAATAATTGAGAGCAAATAAAAAACCACATTAACCAACTTGATTAAACTCAAGTGTGCACTAAAATATCCTTGTATCATATGAAAACTTGTTATAAAATGTTTATATATTTCACGTTTCCTTTTCATGTCCATTTCATTCCCCACCACATGGTTGCATCCCCCATCTTTAACTACCATTCCTCCGCATTCTCATCCACGCCCCATAATGCTCTCTCTCTCTCTCTCTCAAAACTTTGTAAAAAATTAAAGTTGTCTTTTTAAAGTTGGTTCTCATCCCACTCTATATATACACACACAATTGTTCTCATCCCACTTTACATGTAAATATACATAAAAAGAATCGAAACGTTGGACTCTAAAGCTACTAAAAACGCCATGAATTGCCCACAGGATTGGCCAGAGCCAATAGTCCGAGTACAATCCTTATCCGACAGCTCCGTAATCCCAGATCGATACATCAAGCCCCCACCCGATAGACCCACCTATATCTCATCATCCGATATTTCTGATCATGCCAACATCCCAGTTATTGACTTACAAGGCTTATCCGGCGAGGACGATCGCCTGCGTGCCGCCACGCTTAGCCAAATCTCCGAGGCCTGCCGTGAGTGGGGGTTCTTCCAAGTGGTGAACCACGGCGTTAGCCCGGAACTGATGGACAAAACCCAGCAGGTTTGGCGGGATTTTTTCCATTTGCCGATGGAGTTGAAGCAGGTCTATGCCAACTCACCAAAGACTTATGAAGGGTATGGAAGTAGGCTTGGAGTTGAGAGAGGCGCCATTCTTGACTGGAGTGATTACTATTTCCTTCACTATCTTCCATCCTGCTTGAAGGACTACAACAAGTGGCCTGCCCTCCCTGATTACGGACGGTACTTTCTAATTAGTCATACTTATATTAGACTTTAATAATTTGTGGTCCTCTTTTCCGTTACGTACGGAAGAAAAGATTTGAACTTAAATATTACCACTCGTTATGACGAAAATATCACTATGCTAAGAATTAGTTGATATGTTTTGTCTTCGCAATTTCATGCATATTCTTCATAATCATAATACATCCCTACTAATTTGTATTGCAAGCTTGGGAAAACTAAAAAACCATATATGTAGTAAGTGAGATGTGCATGCTCGGGAAAAAAAAATTCGTCTACAGTAAGTAGTTGTGCTTAACTTTTAATTTTTTTAATAGTTAGTTTCACAACAGTTAAACTTGTTTGTTGAGTTTGTAACTTCAACTGTTAACAATTTTATGACTTCCCTTTATATCTACATGTAAGAATTCAAATTTCTCAAGATGAATTTTTCTATTTTATCTTAATTGTGTGAAAATTAAGTTGTGTATCTTTGTTTCGTGCTAATTGAGTTGTGTACTTGCATGTTTTATAGGGAAGTAATAGATGAGTATGGAAAGGAGGTAGTGAAGCTTGGTGGGAGGATATTGAAGGCTTTGTCACTAAACCTTGGATTAGGAGAAGACTTTCTCCAAAATGCATTTGGTGGCCAAGACATTGGGGCATGTCTAAGGACCAACTTTTATCCAAAGTGCCCCCAGCCTGACCTGACCCTGGGCCTGTCGTCGCACTCGGACCCCGGCGGCATGACCATTCTGCTGGCCGACCAACAAGTCCCTGGTCTACAAGTCCGGAAAAATGGCACTTGGATCACGGTGAAACCAGCTCCACACGCTTTTATTGTCAATATTGGTGATCAAATTCAGGTGATTTTTCTACTACTTGATTTTTCTACTACTTTTTGTTGGTTTTATTCGTTTTATATAGTTTATTTTGCACTCTAGATATTATGCTCATATCAAAAATATAAAATTGAAAATGCTGCACACTATTGTACTATAATTTAATGATATTTCTCTTTACTTATAATTAAAAAATCTTAAATTTGAATTTAATAAATGACGAGTTTAATATTTGATCGTGACTGAAACATTGTATACGTAACCTACACTATTTTTCTCTCAACATCATTATATTAAATAAGAAACAAAAATGTTTGTGCGTCAACTTGTGAAGGGCTGTTCCTCCTCCTTACCAAGTCAAACGATTTTGGTCCAAACGTGCCTCTTTTAATTAATCCATGTGACGGCGTGCATAAACAAGTGGTGTCAAGTGATTGTTTGGAACCTAAGGGACATATACATTATATCGATTATATTCAAGGATTCTTAATAAAATTATTATTTTTGTTTAGCCAACATCATCTGAAAATGTCCGAATAAATAAATCAATTCAAAATTCTTAATTATATAACGGCTGCTATTCATACTAACTCCAAACTTCCTACATATGCATTGTTGTTTTTTTTAATAAAAATTACGAGTGTCAAACATGTCCCAATTAATAAATACATTACACTCGATATTTTAACATATATCTTTGTACTCTTGTTCATTTGACATGTTATGTTACTCGAAAAACTTAACATGTTATGCTATCAGAGAGTTATTATGTTTATATATCTGATAGCAATTGAATATTATTTAAAAATATATTGTTGGCAAATGATCGCTCATTCTATATTTACTTTTTTTAAAAAAGATCAGTTGGTAGCAAAGCCACAACAGTCCACCCTTTCGAGGGTCAGGAAGACTCGCATAAACATTTTAGCTTCTCTCAACCACTCATTCTATCTCTCAGTATTAATTCTATTTTTTTTATAAAAGAAGAAATTGAACTATTTCTCTTATAGCATAGTTCAAATACGTTAAATGCTTAATATATGATATTGGAATATGTGTTTTGAATTAGGTCTTAAGTAATGCAACATACAAGAGCGTAGAGCACAGGGTGATCGTAAACCCGGCAAAAGAGAGACTCTCGTTAGCCTTCTTCTACAATCCAAAGAGCGACATACCAATTGAGCCGGCGAAGGAGCTTGTAACACCGGACAAACCTGCACTGTATTCTCCAATGACATTCAATGAATACAGGCTTTACATAAGATTGAATGGCCCTCGAGGAAAATCTCAAGTCGAAGGCTTAAAGTCTCAACAAAATACATCATGACACTAGTAGTTTTCTTCATTGTAAATTACGTAAATATATGCAGCGATATCTTTGTGAATGTGTTGCTTCCATTGAGCTAATTGTACATCTTGTAATCATGAAAGGATGAGAATATGATCAAGGAGTTGTGTTGTTGGTTTATTAAAATTAGTGAATGTTAATGTATCTACGAGGATTCAAATTGCATCTAATGACACGTGACAAGGCTATTTTGTCTTACCTTGTCACAATGATTGTGGTAACTGGTAACAATAAAATACTTTGACATACATGATATATATATTCATGTCTTCAATCTATTCGTGGGAATGAAGATCCTCTCCGGATCTTCTTCTATATATTCATGTCGTCAATTATTTGTGGGAATGAAGATTCTCTCCGGATCTTCTTCATGAGGATCACAGATATATTTTAATCATATCCGTTCATCGTATATCATGCATCTATAAATCATTGTAAATTTTTTTATTTAAAATTACATATAAGCAGTACCTGACGAAAACTGACCGCACGATGTACGATGAACGGATGTGATTGGAGGATTCCCGGGATCCTCACAAAGAGAATCCGAAGAGGATCCTCATTCTATTTGTGGGGAGGTTTTTTGTTTTTTCTTGATTAAATTATAAAAAAGAAAAACGTAATAAACGTAAATTATATTTTGTATTCTAAAATTTAGGTGCACTTGCAACTTCCAACATAATTTTAAAAAATATTACAATGTCAAACAAAAACTTGTGTTTTAGTTGCAATTTCATATATTAGCTAAAAAATCGGTTAAGTGATAATAAAATATATTTTTTGTGCAATAAAAAAACAAGAAGATGATATGTTCATCTTCTTCTCCTCCTCCCGGCTCCCTCCCACATTACCTATTGATGATTCCATAATAAGGATGGTGTTATCTATACACTCATTTTTATCTTTTACGTACTTCACTCAATCCTAAACCGTCGGATTGAATGAATTGAAGAAGATCAATAAATAAAAATTAATAAAAATGTGGAAGATGAAAAGGATGTGGAACAGCACTATCCTAAAATAAAACCTTAATATTTGGAAAAGGCATTATAGGTATTGGATGCTACATAACTTCAATTGATCATAGCAAATTATAGTGCCCTCCACCACCAATAGTCTTTGACTCCATTAATTAAAATGTACGATTTCTGACTAGCTCCTCCATCTACTACTTAATCATCATTAACACATTATTTAACATGCAAAAAAAAATTATATTTGTCATTAGAGCCAAGAAAAGCAGCGGCTTAGCTTAATTATCATGTTTTACATCTCATTTTTAATGACCCAACCCTCTTCTTACTGAACTTTATATCGCACTAAACAAAAATATCATTATTTATACAGAAAATACGTGTTCATTCTTTAATTAGTTGTTATAATTATAGAACATTACTTTTATCCCCACATATATATATATATATATATCTCATTTCTTGCGAATCACGTACTTATACTATATAAGTTTTATACAAAATCGTTCCACTTTTTTATCTTCATTTAAATATTATTTTTATAATAAAATCATTTGAATTGGAAATTGTTTATGCATCTAAATATAAAGAATATATTGACAAAGTGAGTGCAAATAACATATTCACGATGAAACGTCTATTTATTTGAAATTTAGATGACCAAGCGAACAAATTATGTTTTGTAAGGATGATCTTCATGTGAAGATTAAGATATTAAATAGTATCAACTATAAAATTTGTACGATAAAAATGTGTTAATCGGAAGAGTGAGATAAATTCAACCCAAATACTTCTATTAAAAGCAAAGGGTGTGCTCTATTAGAGCTTCAATTTTCTATGCCTCAATCATGTATAAAAGTCAAGTGTCAAATATTAAGGTTCTTCTCGATCGATTGCGATTACATTTAACTAATAACAATTCATCACATGTTCCTCATTAATTAAGTTTATGAGGTACAAAAATCCCAAATTTATCTTCAATCTCATTTTAATATGTTACTTTGCAGAACAAATATTGTGGTCCACATATCGGCAGCTTTGTTGGTTTGAAATTTGGATCACTTTGATATTTATTTAACGGCAGAGTTGCTTGTATATTTTATAAATTGTGATGTCTGACATGAGATAATCCTTGGCGCTTCTGAGAAGTTGCTGGAGATGTGTGGGACCCCTTTCATTATCTAATCATCAAAATCCAATAAGTTGTTGTTTTCTTTCTTTAACTTAATTATATTATATTAACCTGCAACACGTGTGATAAATCTTTCGATGGCCACTAGTCTCTGCCGTGTTGGTCAACATCTCCTAATTTTCAACAACAATTCATAAATGAAGGTGGATTAATTAATCTTTCAATAAAACGATTTGATCTTAATCTCCAATAATGAATCGTTTTGAATTCGTTTGGCGTTAAAGATTGAATCGGATAACTCATAAGTTTAATATATGTCAATAATAGGTAGAGGTGAAAAATTTTCATTGTATTCAATGTAAAAGATAAATCATAAGATATATTGATATCTTATTATTTTATGAAGACCGAAATGGCTAAGTTTTTGTTATGAATAACTTATTTTTTTTTATTTTTAACTTGTACAATACTTCTTCATTTCTTTATTCTATTCTTTAAAAAGAGAACAAACTAGTGATTACGCCACAACAGTCCATCATTTCAGAGATTGAAAATACTTATTAAGGCCTTTCAACCTTCCCTAACCATCATTGTGTGATTCACCAGCATCAAAATACTTACATTGAATCTAGTGATCTATGCAGTACAATCCAATTTTAACCACCAAACGAGCCCTTTGATTAGAGCTTATATGCAAGTACCAAGTTGGTTTTATATGATGGCTTGGCTTGTTTGTTTTTTTCTACAATCAATGGTCAATTTTCGGTCGCAATTACCCAATCTGGAATATTAAAGTGCTTCATTTCACTGAAGCCACGTTCTAAAAATATCCACTAATTGGGGTTAGCTATCAATAGTTGGAATTTGTAGACAAAAGAAGGACTATTGATCATATTTATCAGTCGATATCAATCTGTATCAATCACTTAAGCCTATGAGAATGCAGCAGCATCAGCAGCTTGGAAAGATGAAATTACCAACTCAACTATTGATCATATTTATCAGTAGATATCAATTTGTTATTGACATGTTTGACACGCCCCGACCCCGAGGTCCTAGGGACATCGAGATGGTCACAATTTGGTATTAGAGCCTAACCCTGGCCGTGGTGTGCCGACAAGGACGTCGGGCCCCTAAGAGGGGTGGATTGTGACATCCCACATCACCCAGGGGAGTGATCCTTATATGTATATTCTCATCCCTACCTAGCACGAGGCCTTTTGGGAGCTCACTGGCTTCGGGTTCCATGAGAACTCCGAAGTTAAGCGAGTAGCACGTGAGAGCACTTCCAGGATGGGTGACCCATCGGGAAGTTCTCGTGTGAGTTCCCAAAAACAAAACCGTGAGGGCGTGGTCGGGACCCAAAGCGGACAATATCGTGCTACTGTGGTGGAGCGGGCCCGGGAAGTGGTCCCCCCTGGGCCGGGATGTGACATGTTACTAACATATCGTCGAATTTATAGCTCATCTGGACGAAGACATCTTCTAAAAAGAAAAGTGTCCTAACGTTTCAACTATTTTACTTGTATGTATATGCAAGAATGAAGACATGCAACTTTGAATCAGTCATATAATTCAATGTTCCAACCAATATCTGGACGAAGACATCTTCCAAAAAGAAAAGTGTCCTAACGTTTCAACTATTTTACTTGTATGTATATGCAAGAACGAAGACATGCAACTTTGAATCAGTCATATAATTCAATGTTCCAACCAATAATTCAACCATTATACATCTCATAGGAAGGATTTAAAATAGGGAGTTTTAACAAAAAGTTCACGGTACTGTTCACTTTAACGAAAAACCACATTTTTACACTAAAAAGTCAATCCTGGTACTATTCACTTTACCCTTTATTTTGTCCTTATCATTAAAACTCAAAATTTTCAAATCTTTTTTATTAGTTTTCCTTTTAAAATATCGATTTCTTTAGATATATCAACTCAACTTTACGAAATACTGACACATCAATATCAACCCAAAAAAAAAAAAAAAAAAACCTAAAAGTTGCCAATGAATCACTGAAAAATCAGTAATATCCTTCACCCCGTCCCGTACTATCAATACCGGTGGCAATCCGTAGGTTATTGGTGAATTATTAAACCATTTACCTCCAAATAATAAAGATAAAAGATCAATGTACTTTTTATTTAATTGTAGAGAATGAATCCTGAGTTTTTGACCAAAAAAAATAAAAATAAAAAATAAAGGTTTTTTTTACTCAAAATGGTCTCTGATTAACTCTTCAGTTTCATCTATGACAATGAAAATCAATAAAATTGATCTTTGAGTTTGTATACCAAAAATAATTTTGATTATTCCATGAAAAATCTTTCAATATTCTCGTTATCTTGTGAATCACCATGTGACGACCTTTTTAAAGGTATTTTTGTCAAATAACCCTTCTACTTAATAAGGATATTGACAAATTTGGACCAAAATGATGGTGAACAAACTCATTCCATTGTCAGAAACTAAAGGGGCATATTCAATTAGAAGTTTGAGAGATTTTAATTATTTTAATGAATCTAGAGGTATTCCATTAGGATTTTAAGTGACTTTCAAAAATTCAAAATGTATTCAATCAAGATTTTAAAATAGTTGATTAAAATCCTTAAAAATCTAGATATCACCTCTCCCTATGAGATTTTGAGCTAATTGTATCAAAATTTCACATGGAATCTCTACAAATCAATTTTGTTTAAATAAACAATATTATCTATACTAAAGGCGTGGTGGAGTGATCTAAGCCTTACATTGGGCTAGCCATATTAATGTGGTTCAAATTTGCCTTTGGTGAGAACCGAACATAAGACCTCTCACTTACAAGTGAAGAAGAATATCATTAGACAGTAGTACTAAGTGACGACAAATAAATTAAACTCTATCAAGATCTATGGATTTGTAAATCCATTAAATTTCTTGAAAATCCCAATTGAATACACCTCAAATTTGAAGTTATACAATTTCAAAGATCATTTTAACTAAAAACTCACAATGGCAAAGAGGTTGATGCATACAATTGCAAACGAGAGCGGGAGGTGACATTTATTTATATTAAGGATAATGCTAGGAGACAAAAATTTAAAACCAAATTTACAAACTACACGATGTGTCACTAATAAAAAAAAATAAACACGTTAATCAATA